CATGAGGCCCAGGGCTGGAGTGATGAGGATGAATACAGAGGGGCCTGGCAGTGGAGGAACACTGTACCTCTCTGCAGACCCCCTGTGGTGGGTGACTTCCAAGTGCCCTTCAGTAGGGGGGTTTGTGGTGAGCAGCGCAGCCCCCTAGCTTACCCCGAAGCCTTTAGATGTTTTGGGGCTAATGAGGTCCTGCCACGTTCAGTGTCCTGTCCCCGAGAAGGCCCTTGAGGGCTTGGCGGGAAGCCTCAGCTGGGGTGGATGGCTAGTTTGAACACACGCAGCTCTTCCTGCTGGCTGTGGATAGTGGCCTCCAAGGAGACAGCTGGCCAGCTCAGTCCTTTGTAGCCGCTGTGGTCCTCTCCCAGTGGGTCTGCGGGAGCACCTGGGCACATGACTCCCAAAGTTTCCTTTCCGTTGGCTGCACATCATTTGATTTTAAGATTTCATCTATGCAGGAGGTTTCCATTTGTAATCAAATCGATCAAAAATGTGTTTATGGCTCCTGCTCTTCTGTTTCGCTTAGAAAGGCCGTCAGCGTCCCGAGCTGTTGAACATTCTCCCATGTTTTCTTCCAATGCTTTTGTGCCTCTCACATTTTGCGTTTCTATTTCTGGTCCGTGTAGGCTTTATTCCAGAGAGAAGCATCCACTGCCATGTTTTCTACAGACGGACACCCAGCCGTTGGGACCATCCATCAAATGACCCTTCTTCGTGGATTCCAAATGTCCCGGTGTCCATACACTGAACCAAGTCTGTCCGCGTCTGTTCCATCTACGACCTGTGCGTCCAGCCTCCTGCTGGTGCTAAACAGTCCAGTCCAATGGATGACAGACTGCTCCCTGACAGTCTTCCTTCAGGGTTCTGCATCCTGCTCATTCTTGCCCCTCCGTTTTCCTCACAACTGAGAACCGGCCTGACGGGTTACCTCACACATGCCAGAGCTACTTCTACTGGCTTGCATTCAAGGTGTGGATCAGTTAGAGAAAACCGGCCTCCCCTTTCCAGGGTCTGTCCGTCCCTTGGCTGCCTTTTCTCTGGTCCTCTGCAGATTCCTGAGACTCTGGCTAAGCTTTCCTCTCTGCTCTGCGCCCCCCCCCCGGGGCTTGGGTATCACCCACAATTGGTAACTGTTATGGGTTGACCTGTGTCCCCCAAAAGCTTTGTTGAACTCCTACCCCTCCCATCTTCGAACGAGAACTTGTTGTGAAATAGTCTCCACAGATGTTACCAGTTAGGTGGCTCAGTGCCTAAGGCATCTGACTGCTAACCAGAAGGTTGGCAGTTCAAACCCACCAGCCACTCCGTGGAAGGAAGGTTGGGCAATCTACTTCTGTAAAGATTTACCGCCTTGGAAACCCAAAGGGGGTCACTATGAGTCGGAATTGGCTTGGTGGCAGTGAGTTTGGTTTTCTGGTCTGAGGTTAGCATGCCTTCACACTGGTGTGGGGTGGGTCCTATCCCAGCTGAGTGGTGTCCTTAAAAGAGAAGACACACAGACGAAGGATGACCATGTGGTGATGGATCCACAAGCCCAGGGACGCCCAGGCCACCAGGAGTGGGGAGGCAGGAAGCTCCCTGGCAGAGCCTTTGGAGGGGTCACTGCAGACTTGGAAGTCCAGGCTGGACTAGGACAAAGCGGCTTGTGAGGCTCCGCCCAGCAGGCCGGCTCTCTCACACACTCCGGTTCCCAAGGCCACTGGGCCACCCAGCTGAGTTTCCCCAGGCTCTCTGCCCTCCCACCCCTGCTCGCCTGGCCTGGGATCCCGCCCTCAGTGGCAGCCACGCACTGTGGTCGGGCCACCAGCCTTGACTGCCCCCCTCATCTCTCGGCCCTGCGCCCTTGTTGGTCCCAGGTGAGGTTCTCCTGCCATGCACACACCTTGGTGCCTAGGACGCCCTCCAAGGCCCGCTCCTGAGCAGGTCTGGGCGGCACCGCCTCCTCCATGGGATAAAGTCCAGACTCCTGGAGCACCTGGCTGCAGGCGCCTCCCTTCCCTCCTGCAGCGCGAGCCACAGGGCGGCTGCACCCACCGAGCCCTCTCAGCGCCCACGCGGGTGAATCTCCGTCCCACCCCAACCTGGCCCGGCGCCTGTCCCGCCCTGAGGCCTGGGAGCTGCTCTGGGGCGCCAAGTACCTGGGGGAGGCCTGCGACGGTCGGCTCGCGGGGAAGTCCCCGCCCCCAGGACCTCCCCTCCACAGCCCGCACCTGGAATGCAGCCCTGCCTACAGGGCCACCGTCCCAGGCCGCCGCTGGCACGACCTCCCTCCTCGGGAACACCGGCGCCGGGTAGTGGCGCCTGGCCCGAACGAGGAGCACGGGAACCGGCTCGGGAGCGGCGAGCCCCAGCGCCTCAGGTACCCGCCGTCGGCGGCCACAGGCCCTCCCAGGCCCGCGGGACGCCTGGGGTCGGGTGGGCGGTTCCACGGCTCCGGCCCAGCCCCGTCTCCGACCACCTCTCGCTCGGGCCGCGGGGCCAAAGACGGGGGGGGGGGGGTCGGGGGGGCAGCCAGAGCGCGGCTCCCGGGCCGGCTTAGGCGTTCTCCGGCGGCCTCCGGGCCAGGCCGCGGATCCACCTGACGCGCAGGGCGGGTCTTTCCAGCCGAGACCGCTGGGCGGCGGGCTGCGGGAGCGCAGGCGGGAGGCACGCGCTCACCTGGCTCCGCCCGCCCGAACCTGGGTTTCCGGCGGGGCGGGGCCTAAGGCGGGACCGGGGGCGTGTC